ATAAACTTACTATATAAAAGTTTGAAATTTTCTCACCTCAGCCCCAGCCATAAAACTTGCTTGTAAAACATCATGAAAAATTTGTTTGCGCTTCATTTTGACTATATAATCGTGATATTGACTATATAATCGTACTATTTTCTCAAATGACCTCCGTCTCAACCATGGTGAGGCTGAGGTGGATGGACGGACTTACAGCTTGGAAGTTAGTAAATTGTAGTACATCAAAGACAATGTTTTTAAGTTTTATTTTCTATGGTACATCACACATATAGTTAGATTTCTATGGTTTCCAAAAATCGTTGGTAAAAGATCATGAGAAATTTGCTTCATTTTCACTATGGTGATGTAATGATGATGAATTTCCGGCCATCTAGAGGTACTATTTCCTAAAATGTTCTAACCTCTGGCCCAACCAAGTGGCCCTGAGGTTTCAAAACGCTCCCCCACCTGGTGGTCGCATTATCCACCCCCCCCCCCACCCATTGCTAAATCCTAGATCCGCCACTGTTGAGGGGACACCTTCGGGACCAAATCAATTCCCCCTTAATTAGGAGTGTTCCCTGAGTGTCCCCCTGAGTGCCCCTATTAAGGGAACACTAACCAAGAACGTGAAATTGTCCCATTAGCGTGGTTTTGGCACGTCATCCATTCTCTATAACTTTATTCCAGTTGACCAAGAACGCGGAGTTACAACATAAGGCAAAATAAAATTAACTGTTAGCTTCACGTCCGGGATTTTAAATTATTGTTTGGTAAGGGTATTTACTATTTGCTATATACCATCTTATATACTAATGGTAAACAGGCTGGTAAACAGAAAACATTTTTTTTTAAATAAAAATATAATGAATCTTTGTAATGTATTTCTGTTATTTATGTTCCCACCTCTTCTTAAGCTTGACATCTATTTCAGATAGTCATTATTGTTATTGTTCATGAGCAAAATGAATGGTTTTTTTTTAATAGCAAATATTAATTTTTTTCACTCCAAAATTTGATGAGAGCAGGGACATGAAACTAGCAATTAATTTTATTTTGCCCAAAATTTAACTAAATGCTTAGAGATAATAGCTCTATGGATAAATGTAACAATAAATTTGCGATGCAAAGGCCTACAATACATTTATGATGAAATTAAAAGAAGTAAGTAAAACAACAAAAGTTACATATTTATTATTGTTCCAGGCCAAATTATTTTTATAGTTGATCTCACGGGCCAAAGCAAAAAATATAATCTCCGGCCAGTTGAAAGCAATCGTTATACATCTCAGTAACTTTATTGATCACAATACAAAAGCCTAACATTATACGAAACGTTACGCATATCTGCACAGTATACATGTATGACTTAGCAAAATGTAATTTTATGAGCTGCACAGAGTGTCATGAATGGCATGAATTATTTTGGACAATCAAAATGTATTTTTATGAGCTTGTGTTCACTAACTTTTTATTACCAGGTAGAATTATGTACGTGTTATTGACGATAAAACCCAAGAGACGTATTTCAAAATAACCTAAATTTAGGTTGACCTCCAAACGATTGAAACACAGTTGGAATCAATTGATCAATTGTACAGCACCTCATTATTTTGAAACAAATGTGACCTTAATATAGATGCCGTTAATCCATTATTGATAGTATTATGATGTAGGCCCTACACCTTTGGTTAATCCTCTTTGGTTTATATAGGATCAATATCCCTACAGCCTTGGGTCACGTATCGGACTTATTGATTCAATACGTCAGTCACTCATTCATTACCAACGATGTCTTCAAGGTGTGAGCAAGATGTTTAAAATCAAGGGTGAGGGTGCAGCCAGAGGGGTTGTCGTTCAAGGGTCCACCAACCACAGTTTACTGTAATTAAAAGTACACAATTATCGGCTAAGGTGTACCGCTGTGTGAAAATACTATAAGCTAAACAACACTTAAAGAAAATAAAAGCGATAATAAGATATGGATACACCTACAGTATATGTTTTCTATGGTTTCAAGGAAATGCTTGAAGTTGAAGTAAATAATGAACAACACAAATAGGTTCGTGATTATAAAATCTGTCTCTTATACACATCTAGATGTGTATAAGAGACAGAATCAATTCCTTGTACGCCGAACTTGCGTATCTTCTGATCAGGGACACCTGTCGTTCCATAGATTTGAAACGTCGAAGTTGGATCAACTCGTCGAACGTTGATGCTTCGACGCATTGAACGCCGAAGAAAATGTTCTTGAGGGCATCTTCCACGTCTTCGTCTCCGTTTCCGAATTGCAACACGAGTTCCGGGTACGTGTCGCGAAGACGGAGGAATTTGCGTATCACGTCGGCCGCAGAACGCCTACCCACGATATCCCAGAGGCCGGTGCGTATCTCGAGCATATCCTCTTCGAAATCCAATTCCCGTCCGTCGTACGGAACGATGGCGGCAAAATCGACCAGACCGGCTTCCAGTGC